GATAGATAGATAGATAGATAGATAGATAGATAGATAGATAGATAGATAGATAGATAGATAGATGATAGACTGGTAGAAGGCCCCAAAATCCAGGTTTCATTGTATATGCCTAAGAGGAAAAAAAGGCAGCAATCTAGAGATATTCTCTTTGGAAAATCCTGCCTTCAAAATTAGAGATAGTGGATACTTTGAATTGTTGCTTGGCTCCCTCCCCCCAGGGTCAACGTTTTTTTCTGTGTCACTTTGCTGCCATCTAGCGATTATACATTTGTCTGAAGTTGGGTAGGGTTTCCTGCCTGAGCAGGGGGTTGGACTAGAAGACCTCCAAAGTCCCTTCCAAACTCTGTTATTCTAACAAACCGTTGGATGCAATGCATGAAACCTCTAAGACATTGCCCTAAAGAAGAGGGAGTCAAAACACCTGAGGGGTAGGACAAGAAGCAATGGGTGGAAACTACGGTAATCAAGGAGAGAAGCAACTTAGAACTAAGGAGGAATTTCCTGACAGTTAGAACAATTAATCAGTGGAACAACCTACCTCCAGAAGTTTGAAACTTCCAATGCTCCAACACTGGAAGTTTTAAAGATGATGTTGGATAACCATTTGTCTGAAGTTGGGTAGGGTTTCCTGCCTAAGCAAGGGGTTGGACTAGAAGACCTCCAAGGTCCCTTCCAACTCTGTTATTCTGAAAGTGTTCTAGGGATAGAAAAAGTGTTGACTTCCAACTCGCTCTCTTGCAGTAGAATAAAGCAAATAACTTTTCCAGAACAATATAGCCATTTCTATGACAACAAATCAACACATCTCTCTCCCCTCCTCACTTTTCTTTCCCCTTTTCCTCCTCCCCAACTTTCTCCTATTATTTGCTTTCATATTTTTGTATTTTATATTCTATAATCTAATAAAATGTGGAAATGTTCTAGGAATAGTATCTTAGTAAGTATGGTTGTCAATATTTCTCCAGGGCTCCTCTCCTTTTCACAATTCTTTAGTATCTTATTTAGATACTAGTGTAAAGTTTAAGTAGAGATGATTGCATAAATGGTTACCTGCTTGACCTGTTTGCGATTATACATATGATTGCAGTCCAGTTTGGGCAGCCCGAATATGCTTGAATAAATAAATTGTGGTAAAATAATAGCCAAGTACAGTGGGTGAAGCCAGACATTGCTTTTGTAGTGCTCCTGTTTAGAAAGTCTTCGGTGAAGTAGGAATGATCACATTCACATAAATACACCTTAACATTCGAGGCTCTGTTCATTTCTCCATCTCTGGCGTCAAGAGTTGATTCCTGGTTTACATCTTGGGACCTAAATAAGCCTTTCATTGCATTGGCCAATTAAATTGGGAAACTAAAACAATATACTATTTTCAGAACAGAGGTAAAGTAAGAGTAGAAAGGACTGTGTATCTTGTCTGCTATATATAGGTTTGTAGCCTGACTCATAATCCAATTATTAGCTGGTGTAGAAAGTTACCCCCACCCCCACCCCTCCTAGAAGAATGAACTATTTTAGGCAATTTTAAAAAGGCAGGATAAAATATTTTCCCTAAAAGAGCAATAAAAATCTTAAGGGAAACAGAAACTCAGAGCTTCAGCTCCCTGCCCCCAGCAGATATGTTGGTGCACATTAAGAGAAACTGGGCCAGCCTATCTACAAGACAATTAGACCTTCAGCTCCCAGGGTGATGGGATTAAGACATGACCCCCTCAGGTTATAATAGGATTGGCCCTTTATCCATCTAGCAGTAGGGCTTACTGCATTGCAAAATCACCTGGGGATATTACATCAGCCCAAGGTTCCACCAAACTTGATTCAGACACACATGATTCCACATGGGAGTCTGACTACAGCCAATAGAATACATGCTCTTCCCCCAGGAACAGGAAGCTCAAGTTTCCTCCCAATCAGCTGGGACTTGGGAGGCAGAGAAAAGATGGAGGCGGGGCCAGTCAGAGGTGGTATTTACCAGTTCTCTGAACCACTCAAAATTATCACTACTGGTTCTCCAGAATGGGTCAGAACCTGCTAAATAACACCGCTGCCCTCTACCCAGCTAACATCAAGGCTTACTGCATTTCAAAATTTCCTAAGGACATTGCATCACCCAGCAAGGTTCAACCAAACTTATCTATGACTCCTGTATAGCCCCATGGGAATCTGAGAACCAATAGAATATATTTCTTGCATAGGAACAGGAGGCTCAAGTTCAAAGTCCAAGAGAGGGTATAAATGCCTCTCATTCTCCACTCCATGTGGTCAGCTGCCCAGGACCTCAAACCCATGTGATCATGTTCACCAATAAACCATCTTTCCAATCAGCCTCCATGTTTCCAATGTTTTTCTCCCCACTTGGAACTGAACCAGATGGATATTTCTTCCAACACTGGGTATGCCTGAGAGAGAGAGAGAAAAGGCTAAAATCCAGAGAGATTTTCTTTAGAAAAAAGCAGCCCTCCCATGCCCCTTTACTTTGTCTTTTCAGCTCTTACGGTGCGCTTTCTGACGAAGCGTTTCATTGGAGAATATGCCTCTGATTCTGGTAAGTTTCCACTCACTTTGAATCTTCCTTGCATTTTATTTACACTCACATGATCTAGATTTTACTGCTGGTAATGGAAGGGTAATGTATGTGTCATTTTAGAAATAGGGCATATAATAAACGTTGTGAGCTCTGTGCTTTCAAGAAAAACACAAGATATTATGTGACTTTTTGGGGGGCCTGAAGATTAACATTTATTTTTCAGATTGAGGCAGAGAAGGGGTAGCAATAGATTGATTCATCGTTGTTAAATTGCCTTGGGATGTATAAATGATGGTTGTCTTACCCGGTCTGTTTATTCCTCTTTTTTTTCCCCTCACAGAATGCATTTATACAAAACATTTATATCTGGATGGAAAACAAATTAACTTGGAAATATATGATCCTTGTTCCCAAGTAAGTTGGAAAACTGGACAATGAACACACATAATGAACACTCCTTCCTCCTCCTATTTTTTTCTGCAAATGATGGGTTGGGTTGCGAAAAAGTGATTGGCCCAATGTCACTTAGCCAGCTTTTAGGTCTAAGGCAAGATTAGAACTCACAGTCTCATTGTGATTGGCTCAAAGTCATCCAGCCTGGTTTTCATGCCCTAAGGCGGGATTAGAACTCACTGTCTTCTGGTGATTGGCCCAAGGTCTTCCAGTCGACTTTCGTACCTAAAGCAGGACTGGAAATAGATAGCAGAAGGAATTCAATGCCACAGGTTGCTGAGAAGGGAGACACTTACCCAGTAACCTTAGATGATGATTAAAAAAGAATTAAGCCTGTTCCCGAGACCAGCTGTGTTTCAAAGTGCCTTTAAGATGTTTTGGATTACTCATGACAATATCTGGAATGAAGGTTTGATTTAGTAAGGCAGAGAATTCAACTAAATTGCATATTTTTTTTAAACAGATACAGGTTGTGTAATTTGCTTCAGAAATAGAAGTTAGAAAGGAGGATATATAAAAAGAGTAAATGTTAATGTGGAGAGAATTTAAAGATGACGATGTTATGTATTGTTGTTATACTATTATATAGTTATATTATTAATACTATTGTGATGAATATAACAACAAATATGTGGATTATGACTGTACAAATAACTCTACCTAGATCACACACTGTTTGATGGAAATGGAAAGTAATATAAATTAAAGAAATAAAACATTTTAAAAAACAAAAAAATACCCTTCTCATCTGGAAAAAAAAATATTCCGGCATAATTACAGCGGGAATTAATTTCATTCTGTCTATATAACCCAACGCTTTGAAATCCCAAAGTGTTGGATTAGGGACAGCTC